CACGAGCACTTACGATGGTCAAGCCAGTCAAACTATGAACAGAAGCAAGTAACTCCGATAGCAAGAACCACGGGAATTGAGATATCACAATAATATGGTAAAGAGATAATAACAATTTTATGTGTAAAATTGCATTACCTTTTAATCACACAAGACATGGGTATTTATAGAGGAAGAGGTGAGGGAAAGACCATTGGATGTGATACAAACGGCCTCATCTGCAAGCCAAAGTGTCTCTTCCTAGATATTGATCAATCACTCCATAAGTGGGCGGGCATTTAACGCTTTCTGCAAGGTAAATTTGACTTGACACTTTGGAGTTTACTATGTAGAGGTCTGATCAATCAGTCATAAAGATTTTATCTTGGATAGATCTTTGCATAAAAGTCTCCTAGCACGTTGGGACGAAGTGTCATGGCTTATAACAACAAACATCGTTGCACCCTCATCACCTCGTCATTTTGCTTGGATGGAGTCACCTAGTCACTTTGAAGTCTCATGATTTTGATCAATTCTACTTCTATTTGGCGTAGTGACATGTTGAATGATGTCAAGTATGGGCCTTGGCATCTGCTACAGGGAAAACGACCTAGAGCTTCACTAGGAGAAGCGTAATAATTGTCCCTCGAGTCCATCTATGGATATTTATATAATACATGGACTTTTTCTTAGGAGGAGCTTGCTAAGCGTGCTACAATTGCGTTAGTATCCCAAGTCTTGGCAATGGATATGGATAAAATGTGTGGATTTTCTTGAGGTACCAATGAGAATGTAAACATCTATACTATGGGTATAAGAACCTGTGAAAATGGTTGAAACATAGAGATAGTGTCCTTGCTTTAGACGAAGCTCTAAAAGTTCAACTTTGAGAAAAGTTGAGGTGGCAAAGGCAACGTCCTTGTGGAAGGACGAAGCTCTGGGAGTACAACTTTGTAAAAAGTTGAAAGGGCAGAGGCAAGGTCCTTGCTGATGGATGAAGCTCTAGGAGTGAATCTTTAAGAAAAGTTGGAGTCGCAGCAATGAGGTCCTTAATGAACAACGAAGCTTTAGAGTACAACTTTGAGTAAACTTGAAATGGCAGAGGCAAGGTCCTTGCTGAAGGACGAAGCTTTGGAAGTGCAACTTTGAGAAAATTTTAGGTGGCAAAGATAAGGTCCTTGCTAAAGGATGAACCTCTGCCAGTATAACTTTAAGAAAAGTTGAGGTGATAGAGCCGAGGTCCTTGCTAAAGGGTAAACCTCTGAGAGTGCAATTTTAAGAAAAGTCGGAGCTACAGAGGCGAGGTCTTTATTGAATGATGAAGCTCTATGAATACAACTTTTAGAAAAGTTGAAGTAGCAGGGACAAGGTTTGTGTTGAAGAATGAAACTTTGAAGTGCAACTTTGGAAAAAGTTGACATGGTAGAGACAAGGTACATGTTGAAGAGAGAAGCTCTAGTAGTGCAACTTTGAGGAAAGTTGAAGTGGCAAAGGCGAGGTCCTTGCTGAAAGACAAAACTCTAAGAGTGCAACTTTGAGAAAAAATGAGGTAGCAAAGGTAAGGCCCTTTCTAAAGGATGAAGCTATGGAGTGCATATTTTTTTAAAAAAAAAAGTTGAATTAGCAAGTCAAGGTCCTTATTGAAGGACGAAGTTCTAGGAGTGCAACTTTAAGAAAAGTTGAAGTAGTAGAGGCGAAGTCCTGGCTGAAAGATAAAGCTTTAGGAGTGCAACTTCGAAAAAAGTTGAAGTAACAGAGACTAAGTCATTGCTGATGGACAAAGCTCAAACTTTGAGGAAAGTTAAATTAGCAAAGGTAAAGTCCTTGTTGAAGGATGAAACTCTAAGAGTGCAAATTTGAGAAAACTTGAAGTGGCAGAGATTAGGTCCTTGTGGAAGGACGAATCTTTGGGCATGCAACCTTGAGAAAAGTTGTTGTGGCAGAAACAAGGTCTTTGCAGAAAGACGAAGCTATGGGAGTAGAACCTTGATTAAGCCCAAAGAATAATGCGATAGTTGTAGTATAGCCTTGGGGTGTCATATCCACAAGGAGATGGGGAAATAGTTCAAAGGATCAAAAGCTAGGGTTTTCGTTGTGATCGTGAAAACGTAGTTTACCAAATTGAAATGAGGTTTAAATATCAATGTGTGAAATAGTGAAGCGCTGGAATTCACTCTTTCGGATTGGATCGATCACATCAATCATTTATGCATTTTACTCAACTATAGGTTCTCATCCCATCTCTCTAGTTGGAGGATTTAACAATAAGGATAAATTAATTTTCAATTGTAATTCTATACTCTAGAATTTCTATACTATATTTCCACACGTGTTTATTGGACTAAGATTATGAATCGACCCTATACGTAAAGCATAAAGCAGTAAATAATTCACCAACAGCATTGTATGAGATTGAAATTCAACACTTAGTTTAATTACACAATAGAAGAAATATGATTAAATCTATGAGAAATCTTGTAAAGGTTAAACCAACTTCATAAATAAAATCATGGAAAGAAAGTCTAAACTAGAATTATTTGACAATAAAGCGCTAAATTATATAAATGAAAGATATGAAATCACCAAATCCGATGAGTTTATCCCCTTGCTTCACCAAAGATTTCTAATCCTTCCATGGAGTTTCTTCACCCAAGATGAGAGAAAATTAATGTGGAGAGGAAGAAGAATGGTGTTTTGGGTCAAAATTAGGGCTTAAAAACATGTGCCAAACAAGTTTCCATAAGTGTCCGTGTCAAAATAGAATGCGACCGCATGGTTGTTACCATTTTCTCCGTCGGACAGCTTTTAGTATTTTGGCCATAACTTTCTCTCCCATTGTCTGATTGAGGTGATTCAAGTTGCATTGGAAAGATACTCAAAGGGATACAATTTTGATTCAGATATCATCTTCCAAATCAATCGTTTCCATGTAAAAATAGGTCCCAATATAAGACTGAAAATCGATGTGTAACTTTTTCAATTGGGAATTGTTTTGTGAAGATGTTTTGGTCATATTTCACTTATTTTGACTTCAAATTACACCCAATTGACTCCTATATTTCTTGAATCATCATTCCATCGCCCATCTCATTATGGATTATTTGCAACTTGATCCCTGAACTTTCACTTTTTTCCATTTTTGGTCCTTTTTCACTCTTTTATTCTAAATTTCAACTTTTCTACCAAGATGCTACCTGAATCAACCCTAACACATGCAACATCAAGTATGTCTCGAGCTGACAGTTCAACTCCACAACTCATGGGTATTAAAGTGTTTAGTATGATTTTCTCTCTATGTAGCTGAGAAAGGGATACACTCAGAATTCGGAGGCTTAAATGTTTATGAGTGAACAACAAGCGAACATTGATCTTATGATAGGCATACTGTCAAATGAGAATTCATTACTTTCTTACCACAATCATAAATAGGATCAAAACAGTCAATGTAAAAGGTTTGTAATGCGGCGCAGGTTAGATTATATGAAAAGAGGGATATAAAGATCTAGACACTTCCAAGTGCATAACTAAGTATATTATCACTCATTTCAATAGTTTACACTTTTTAATGAATTCATTCTTCCATATTTCAATTCCCAAAATCAATCAATATTTTCTTCTTTTCCCCTTCTTTTTTTTTTATATTTGCCTTGCTTGAACACATACTAACTCTTGTCATTCTCTTGCTTCTATTCTTCACAAATAAACAATTAACACCTACTATACACTTGGAACTAAAAATGTGGAAAAATATGTGTTTAGGCTACTTTCCAGTATAGAGAGAAGTATGTATAACATGGGTGTCTGAAGAAAAGACTATATATGTGTGTATGGCTCAACATGGCTTCTAGGGGTTATAATTATTGAAAAAGAAGGCATGAAAGGCTTTTTTTAGTTTATGGTGACTCTCGATCCTCACTAATTCTCACAAGAAAACTTCAGCAAGAAATTACTCTAGCTACATGTGTTAAACCACTATCTTACCACAAGGCTTGTGTGCACAAAAAGATTCAACAAATGTCTCAACATCTAAACATTCATAAACAACATTAATTCCTAGTGGCATATATTATCATTCGATTCATCCAAGAACATGTAGTGAATTAGGGACTTAGAAAAAATTTAGACCGAAATTCTATGTAAATCATGCAACTCACAACAAAATTTAAGTTAAACTCTCCCCCCAACTAAACATTGTATTGTCCTCAATGCAAAAACATGTCTGCCAAATAAAGGTAAGGAAAGATGTCACCTGAGTGCCGAAGTGAATCACATGAGCTGAAGTATAAGAAGTTTGAAAGTTTTCAATGGAAATGGTGATGCAGAAAATGAAAATAAAATGAATGCAACGAATAATACATGGACTAAACCTAGAGAGAATGCATAAATGAAAAAGAAAAAGAAAAAAAGAGAAGTGAACGAACTCCCCTTGGATTACCTCCCAAGTAGGGCCTTTGTTTATTGTCATTGGCTCGACCCAATATCGCCTTCTTCAGCCCGCATCGAGCCAGGGTGTTGTCAACCTTTGGCCTATTGCACCAACTTATTGGAAATAGTCACCGGTGTCCCATAATCCTGAAAATCATTAAAAGCAACATCAATATCAGCATATTCTCCATTATCATCCCTTGTGGGAATTTTAGAATTTAAAAAGAAAGAATTTAAAAGGTCGGGGTCAATAAGTGCATGTGCTTCCTCCTCAACGAGTGTATCAATCATGTATATTTGATGACACCCATCATCTTCCTCAGGCTGTTTCATGATGTAAAAGATGTTGAATCTAAGGTCATGTTCCCAAAAGATAGCTTCATCAAACCATTCCTGCAATTGATAAGAGCGTTAGCTATAGCGAGAAAGGTCTACCAAGTATATTGGGAATCTTGGAGTTAACTTTCACATCCAAAACTAAAAAGTCCACAGGGTAACAAAATTTGTCAATTTGTACTAACACATCCTCAACTACCCCTCTAGGCCTAATAGTGGACCGATCAGCCAATTGTAGGACCATTGTAGTAGGTTTGATCTCATCTAGACATGTTGGCACTAGTCCCTAAGTCGAGGAGAGCTTGTGCAATCTCATGGTTCTCTATGATACAAGAAATAGTAGGACAACCGGGGTCCTTATACTTTGGCGGGACTTTTTGTTCAATTACAGCACTCACATGTTCAATCAAGAAGGCGGTTTTCTTGACATGGTGCTTCCGTTTTATAGTACACAAGTCCTTAAGGACTTCAGCATATGTAGGGACCTGGGAAATCGTGTGTAAGAGAGGTAGATGGACTTTTACTTTCTTGAGATGCTCTAGGATTTCACTGTGTTGACTAGAAGATTTCGAGGTCGACTTGAGGGCTTGAGGAAAGGGCACTCTAGATGGATTTTTCACTGCCTCCTCACTAGGGGTGCTCTCTTCTATGCTACTGGGATCCTTCTCACTTTCCCTAAGTTTGGGGGTTGGTTTTATGACCTTTCCATATCTAGTGGTTATGGGATTCACTTCCTTCAAGTTGGTCTCTTCTGATCCTAAAGTTTGTACCATGTGTTGCCCCCTAGGGTTCGGTTGAGCTTGTGCTGAGAATTTTTCACACTCTCTTACAGCTAAGGCATTAGTTAGTTTGGACATATGAGATTTTATTTCCTTGTTTTCTTCAACAATTTGGGTGATCATAGTCTCAAACTTTTGGTTAGTCTTACTTTTTGCCTCTATAAATGCATGTATAGTGTCTTCTAAAGAGTTTCTAGAGGACATGGACTAATATGGAGGTACAGTGTAAGTTTTGTTTGGCTGGCCTTTCATTTCCAGCTGAGATTAGGGTGATTCCGCCACCCCGAATTGTATGTTTCAGAAAAGGAGAATAAGGCTTTTGATATGTGCCAAGGTATTGCAGTGTTCCTCATTAACTCCCCTCATCTCAGTGTGGGTAGCGCATTCTTGAGTTGGATGATCAGTTCCACCACAAACAAAGTACGGTCATAAAGATTCAACATGGGATGCATTCTATGTAGGCTTTGAGTCCCTAGCACGTAAGATTTTGAGTTCTTTAGTATGTGCATCTACCTTGGCTCTAAGATCATCCTCCTCTCTAAGATGATAAATACTAGTGCTATTCGGGTTTTCGATGGGTTGTGACCTATTAGTACTCTCAGTGGCACTAGGTCCAGTCCAGGTATGGGCTTTTTCAGCTAAGTCATCTAGGTAGTCTATAGACTCATTCGGATCTTTTTATAATAATTCCCCATTACACATCATTTCAACAAATTGATGCTCCTTAGGTAATAATCCCTTATAGAAATAACTCGCAATGCGCCAACTTTCAAAACCATGGTGGGGGTAGAGGGCTTGCAATTCTTTGTACCTTTCTCACACTTGATATAAAGTTTCACTCTCCTTTTAAGTAAAAGAAGATATTGGCTTTTTCAATGCGGTTGTTTTATGGTGGGGAAAGTACTTGCCAAATAATGCTTGACTCATTTCAGCCCAAGTCCCAATCGAGCGTGGTCTTAATGAATATAGCAAGCTTTTTGCTCTTTCTTTAAGAGATAATAGGAAAATTTTAAGCCTCACTGCATCTATTGTACCACGTTGATTGTGAAAAGTCACAACAATCTCTTCAAATTCCCTAATATACACGTATGGATTTTCATTTTCAAGACCATGAAAGGTGGGAAGAAGTTGGATCATTCCCAGTTTAAAGCCCATACGTGGCATATTAGGTTGAAATATGACGCATGACGGTGTAAATATGCGTGTAGGATGGAGATAATCGTGCAAATTCCTAGTTGGTGCCTCTTCATGTTCACTATCAGTCATGGTGTTATGTGTTGTAATGTGTGTGCCAACAGATTTTGTATCAAAAAGAGGATTAGAAAGTGATTCAAATTCTAGTTGAGGTCTTGCAATAAATCGCCCTCGCTCGTTTCGATACCCATTCATAAAGCACAAAAATGCAAAAATGTGATAAATAACAAAATACAACTAAAAATAAACAATAAGCTAAAAAGATAAAAGAGGAACGAATTCACCATTTTGCTCGGAAATCCTTCAAGTATTCATACCATCTCCCCGGCAACAGCGTCAAAATTTGATTACGCCCAAAGAATAATGCAGTAGTTGTAGTTAGCCTTGGGGTGTCGTATCCACAAGGAGATGGGGAAATAGTTCAAAGGATCAAAAGCTAGGGTTTTCGTTTGATTGTGAAACGTAGTTTACCAAATTGAAATGAGGTTTAAATATCAATGTGTAAAATAGTAAAGCACTAGAATTCACTCTTTCGGATTGGATCAATCATTCATGCATTTTACTTAACTAGAGGTTTTCATCCCAACTCTCTAGTCGGAGGATTAAACAATAAGGATCAATTAATTTTCAATTGTAATTCTATACTCTAGACTTTCTATACTATATTTCCACACTTGTTTATTGGACTAAGATTATGAATCGACCCTATATGTAAAGCATAAAACAGTCAATAATCCACCAACAACATTGTATGAAATTGAAATTCAACATTTAGTTTAATTCCACAATAGAAAAAACATGATTAAATCTATGAGAAATCTTGTAAAGGTGAAACCAACTTCATAAATAAAATCATGAAAATAAAGTCTAAACTAGAATTATTTGAAAATAAAGCACTAAATTACATGAATTGAATATATGAAATCACCAAATCCGATGAGTTTATCCCTTGCTTCACCAAAGATTTCTAGCCTTCCATGGAGTTTCTTCACCCAAGATGAGAGAAAATTGATGTGGAGAGGAAGAAGAATGGCGTTCTGGGTAGAGATTAGGGTTTAAAAATATGTGTCAAACAAGTTTCCATAAGTGTCCGCATCAAAATAGAAATCTGAGATTTCGCCCTTGAAAAATATCCATGCGGCCGCATGTTTATAATTTATTCGACCGCATGGTTCAATCAAAATGGCCCCAGAATTTCTCGGAAGTCAACCATGCGACCGCATGGCTTTATAACCATGCGATCGCATGGTTGTCACCATTTCCTCCGTCGGATAGCTTTTAGTATTTTGGCCATAATTTTCTCTCTCGATGTCCAATTAAGGTTATTCAAGTTGCGCTGAAAAGATAACTCAAAGGCATACAATTTTGATTCAGACATCATCTTCTAGATCGATCATTTTCCATGTGAAAAATAGGTCCCAATATAAGGCTAAAAATCGATGTGTAACTTTTTCAATTGGGAATTGATTTGTGAAAATGTTTTGGTCATATTTCACTTCTTTTGACTTCAAATTACACCCAATTGACTCCTAAATTTCTTGAATCATCATTCCATCGCCCGTCTCATTATGAATTATTTGCAACTTGATTCCTAAACTTTCACTTTCTTCCATTTTGGTCCTTTTTTGCTCTTTTCTTCTAAATTTCAACTTTTCTACCAAGATGCTACTTGAATCAAAGCACAAGTATAATGAGTGCATTTTGGCATCAAATAGTAACACGAATGCAATAATTAAGAGGGAAAAATTATGATATTTTGCACTCTTATAAAACCCTGAGAAAAGTTGAGAAGACGGAGGCAAGGTTCTTGTGGAAGGACGAAGCTCTTGGAGTGCAACTTTGTGAAAAGTTGAAGGGGCAGAGGCAAGGTCCTTGCTGATGGATGAAGCTCTAGGAGTGAAACTTCAAGAAAAGTTGAAGTCCAAGTAATGAGATCCTTAATAAACAACGAAGCTCTAGAGTATAACTTTGAGTAAAGTTGAAATGTCAGAGGCAAGGTCCTTGCTGAAGGACGAAGCTTTGTAAGTGAAAAAGTTTAGGTGGCAGAGATAAGGTCCTTCCTGAAGGACGAAGCTTTTCCAGTACAACTTTAAGAAAAGTTGAGGTGATAGAGGGGAGGTCCTTGCTAAAGGACGAAGCTCCAATAGTGCAATTTTAAGAAAAGTTGGAGTTATCGAGGCAAGGCCTTTATTGAATGATGAAGCTCTATGAATACAACTTTGAGAAAAGTTGAAGCGGAAGGGGCAAGGTTTGTGTTGAAGAATGAAGCTCTGGAGTGCAACTTTGGAAAAAGTTGACATGGTAGAGATGAGGTACATGTTGAAGAAAGAAGCTCTAGTAGTGCAACTGTGAGGAAAGTTGAAGTGGCAAAGGCGAGGTCCTTGCTGAAGGACAAAACTCAGGGAGTGCAACTTTGAGAAAAAAATGAGGTGGCAGAGGTAAAGTCCTTTCTAAAGGATGAAGCTTGGAGTGCACATTAAAAAAAAAAAAAGTTGAATTGGCAAGTCAAGTCCTTATTGAAGGACGAAGTTCTAGGAGAGCAACTTTAAGAAAAGTTGAAGTGGTAGAGGGGAAGTGATGGCTAAAAGATAAAGCTCTAAGAGTGCAACTTTGAAAAAAGTTGAAGTAACAGAGACGAGTTCATTCCTGAAGAGCAAAGCTCTGGGAGTATAACTTTGAGGAAAGTTAAAGTAGCAAAGGTAAGGTCATAGCCGAAGGACAAAGCTCTAAGAGTGAAAGCTTGAGAAAAGTTGAAGTGGCAGAATGAGGTCCTTGTGGAACGATGAATCTCTAGGAGTGCAACCTTGAGAAAAGTTGCTGTGGTAAAGGCAAGGTCCTTGTAGGAAGACGAAGCTCTGGGAGTGGAATCTTGAGAAAAGTTGAGGTAGAAGAGGCAAGGTCCTTGTTGAAAGACAAAGTTCTGGGAGTATAACTTTGCAAAAAGTTGAAGGGGTAGAGGCAAGGTCCTTGCTGATGGATGAAGCTCTAGGAGTAAAACTTTAAGAAAAGTTGGGGTCGTAGCAATGAGGTACTTAATGAACAACGAAGCTCTAGAGTACAACTTTGAGTAAAGTTGTAAGGGTAGAGGCAAGGTCCTTACTGAAGGACGAAGCTTTGGAAGTGCAACTTTGAGAAAAGTTTAGATGGCAGAGATAAGTTCCTTGCTAAAGGACGAAGCTCTACTAGTACAACTTTTAAGAAAAGTTGAGGTGATAGAGGTGAGGTCTTTGGTAAACGACGAAACTCCGAGAGTGTAATTTTAAGAAAAGTCGGAGTCATAGAGGCAAGATCTTTATTGAATGATGAAGCTCTATAAATATGACTTTGAGAAGAGTTGAAGTGGTAGGGGCAAGGTTTATGTTTAAGAATGAAGCTCTGAGAGTGCAACTTTGGAAAAAGTTGACGTGGTAGAGGTGAGGTACACGTTGAACGAAGAAGCTCTAGTAGTGCAACTTTGAGGAAAGTTGAAGTGGCAAAGGCGAGGTCCCTATTGAAGGACGAAGTTCTAGGAGTGCAACTTTAAGAAAAGTTGAAGTAGAAGAGGCGAAATCCTGGCTGAAAGATGAAGCTCTAGGAGTACAACTTTGAAAAAATTTGAAGTAACTGAGATGAGGTCATTGACGAAGCACTAAGCTCTAAGAATCTAACTTTGAGGAAAGTTAAAATAGCAAAGGTAAGGTCCTTGCTGAAGGACGAAGCTCTAAGAGTGCAAATTTGAGAAAAGTTGAAGTGATAGAGATGAGGTCCTTGTGGAAGGATGAATCTCTGGGAGTGCAACCTAGAGAAAAGTTGTTGTGGCAGAATCAAGGTCTTTGTCGAAAGATGAATATCTGGGATTGGAACCTTGAGAAAAGTTGAGGTAGCAGAGGCAAGGACCTTGCTAATGGATGAAGCTATTAGAGTGCAACTTCAAGAAAAGTTCAGGGAGTAGAGAGTGAAGTTCCTCCTGGAGGAAGAAGCTCTAGAATTACAACTTTGAGAAAAGTTGAGGTGGCAAAGGCGAGGTCCTT